GCTAACCACACGCGCACGGGGAATTGGACCCTCTTCGCGGCTACTCCTTGCCACGTGACGAAACTAACACCAATACGTGGAAGCGAGAGCATGGTTCCGTGGTCGTCTAAGGTTTGACCCTGTAGAACATGTGACACAACGACCTTCGTACCATTAGTCACGTGCTGTGTGTAGGCAATTGCTGTACAACTGCTGTACAATACTGCTGCTGCTTCGACCATATGCACTTGTGTGTCCTGACCGCAACTGCCGCTGACGAGACCTCCTCCGGTGTATATCCCCTGGACTGTGGTTCTCCCCGACGCGTTGTGCAGTAAGGGCGCTCCTGGAATCATGGCATAGCGTCTATCCATGATGGGCCCGGTACTCACATATCCGCCAATGACTCGACCCAGTTTAAAACCACAGCAATATAAAAGTCATCTTCATTTATAACGTACGTGCTGTATTCTATTTTCAAGTTAATGACGGCCGACGGTCGACGACGCTCTGCGAGTGATAAATTAAAATGACCCCCAAAAGCCATCACACGAGACTTGGCAAGACAGCTCTCATTGCCTCACCTTCCACTCCTTTTTCGTTTCTGTATCGGCGAAAGGGTAGAACAGGCTTGCGGAAATGAAAAATGTGCCGATAAGTCAGATCCTCGAACATGACCTTGTCCGAGTCCATGTGCAAGATGTAGTCTCCTTTCGTGTACAAGCCGGCCCTCAGCTGTGGCGTATCAAGGAACGGGATGCCCGTCAGCCCAGCAAATACGACCGAGTGCGTTAGGCTCCAGCTTCTCTTCGCGTCGATTGTCCATATTGTACCGTTATCTAACCCCTCCTTGCCGGAAACATGTCCGTCTCAAGCTCTGGACGGCAAGATTCCAATGTCACGTGAAGTTTTGCGTATTGTTCTCTGAGAGACGTGCCGCCAGTGATTGGAGTAGGCCTACGATGGAGTACTCCATTTATTTGTCGGCGCACGGCCCTGCAGCTAGGCCTTCTTGGTGGTAGCGTCGTCGACTCTGAATCATTATGCTAGCATACATGCAAGACTGGAAGCTTCAGGATTGTTGTGATCAACACTGGGCCGAAAAAAATACTCCCCGATACATAGAAGCATTACAGTAGTTTTCACGTGGATGGGTCCCCAGTTGCTCATCATATCCCCAAGACAAACCTTATTCATACACACGAGGCACGACAAGTATTACTCTGCGTCATTATCCGCAACGCTTCTGCGTAGATATGTTGTTGTTGTTGTCTTCACATCAATAATAATCGTTCCGTTCTCTCGGCCCAGTACCTCTTCTGTTTGTACTAGTCAAACACTTGACGCGGTCGATTCCCATGGTCACAGACAGCCTTACCCCCAAACATACACCAAACCAAAAAGGACCCAAAAGGTCAGCAAGTAAAAAAAATGTAAGTTAGGATAGTCTAGGACACTCGGCTCGCCTCTACGCGCTATGCGAGGTACCCACAGACAGGACTTTGTAGAAAGAAAAATATAAGAAAACAAGAGGGCAGATGGGGAAAAGGGGAAGAGGGAGAGAAATAACACAGAGAAAGAAACACCCAGAACCACTACTGTAGCGACAAAGAATTTAATCAAACAGAACAACATCTAGTGGACGGCAATGTTCAGCAAAAATACTCAAAGGTGATAACCCCTGTACTACCATACATATCTACTGCATACTGCACCATTGCACCAACCGGCCACGGACGATGACGTGCATTTCTTTGCTGTCTCGGGTGGCCCGCCTTGCGTGGCGTTGTTTTATGGATAAAACAACGCCACGCAAGGCGGGCCACCCGAGACAGCAAAGAAATGCACGTCATCGTCCGTGGCCGGTTGGTGCAATGGTGCAGTATGCAGTAGATATGTATGGTAGTACAGGGGTTATCACCTTTGAGTATTTTTGCTGAACATTGCCGTCCACTAGATGTTGTTCTGTTTGATTAAATTCTTTGTCGCTACAGTAGTGGTTCTGGGTGTTTCTTTCTCTGTGTTATTTCTCTCCCTCTTCCCCTTTTCCCCATCTGCCCTCTTGTTTTCTTATATTTTTCTTTCTACAAAGTCCTGTCTGTGGGTACCTCGCATAGCGCGTAGAGGCGAGCCGAGTGTCCTAGACTATCCTAACTTACATTTTTTTTACTTGCTGACCTTTTGGGTCCTTTTTGGTTTGGTGTATGTTTGGGGGTAAGGCTGTCTGTGACCATGGGAATCGACCGCGTCAAGTGTTTGACTAGTACAAACAGAAGAGGTACTGGGCCGAGAGAACGGAACGATTATTATTGATGTGAAGACAACAACAACAACATATCTACGCAGAAGCGTTGCGGATAATGACGCAGAGTAATACTTGTCGTGCCTCGTGTGTATGAATAAGGTTTGTCTTGGGGATATGATGAGCAACTGGGGACCCATCCACGTGAAAACTACTGTAATGCTTCTATGTATCGGGGAGTATTTTTTTCGGCCCAGTGTTGATCACAACAATCCTGAAGCTTCCAGTCTTGCATGTATGCTAGCATAATGATTCAGAGTCGACGACGCTACCACCAAGAAGGCCTAGCTGCAGGGCCGTGCGCCGACAAATAAATGGAGTACTCCATCGTAGGCCTACTCCAATCACTGGCGGCACGTCTCTCAGAGAACAATACGCAAAACTTCACGTGACATTGGAATCTTGCCGTCCAGAGCTTGAGACGGACATGTTTCCGGCAAGGAGGGGTTAGATAACGGTACAATATGGACAATCGACGCGAAGAGAAGCTGGAGCCTAACGCACTCGGTCGTATTTGCTGGGCTGACGGGCATCCCGTTCCTTGATACGCCACAGCTGAGGGCCGGCTTGTACACGAAAGGAGACTACATCTTGCACATGGACTCGGACAAGGTCATGTTCGAGGATCTGACTTATCGGCACATTTTTCATTTCCGCAAGCCTGTTCTACCCTTTCGCCGATACAGAAACGAAAAAGGAGTGGAAGGTGAGGCAATGAGAGCTGTCTTGCCAAGTCTCGTGTGATGGCTTTTGGGGGTCATTTTAATTTATCACTCGCAGAGCGTCGTCGACCGTCGGCCGTCATTAACTTGAAAATAGAATACAGCACGTACGTTATAAATGAAGATGACTTTTATATTGCTGTGGTTTTAAACTGGGTCGAGTCATTGGCGGATATGTGAGTACCGGGCCCATCATGGATAGACGCTATGCCATGATTCCAGGAGCGCCCTTACTGCACAACGCGTCGGGGAGAACCACAGTCCAGGGGATATACACCGGAGGAGGTCTCGTCAGCGGCAGTTGCGGTCAGGACACACAAGTGCATATGGTCGAAGCAGCAGCAGTATTGTACAGCAGTTGTACAGCAATTGCCTACACACAGCACGTGACTAATGGTACGAAGGTCGTTGTGTCACATGTTCTACAGGGTCAAACCTTAGACGACCACGGAACCATGCTCTCGCTTCCACGTATTGGTGTTAGTTTCGTCACGTGGCAAGGAGTAGCCGCGAAGAGGGTCCAATTCCCCGTGCGCGTGTGGTTAGCGTCACTGTCAACCCTGTCCGAGGACAAACGCTTAACCGTACTTGTTTGGACTTCAACGCTGGATCCTTTCGCGCACGCTCATTTGTACGTCGCTTTTTCCCGAGTTCGTAGGTCAGATGACATGGTTATATTGACTACCCAGCACATGATTCATCGTGCTCGTACGCCACGCACGGCAAACAACGACTTTAACTCGCTGCTACCTGTTCAAGTATCCACCTTCTGCTTCCTTTTTTTCCTGTCCTCAAAGTCTGCTTCCCATTGGTAACAATAGTAGTTTTTCTCCATGTTTTGGTATCTACATCGCGCGTGCGTATCTTCGTTGCCTGACTGCTTTCTTGTTCTTTCCGTTTCCTCCGTGGAGCCTCCCTGCTCCCACCCTCCTTTGTTTCTGTAGGTGTGACGGGAACGGTTTTTTTTTGCATGTTGATATTTCGTACTTCTAAAAGTATTTTCTATCGTCTCGTCGGCAACAGCCACGCCATTTCTCGAACGTATGCAGCTTCGCGTCCGTCCTCCGACACTGTCTTTGCCACTAACTATGTGGTATGCTACCTTGAGTATAGGTTGGACCCTTGGCGCTTTCGGAATGCTCGGTTCGTGCTCATCGAGTATTCCACGTTCATGGTTTATATTGTCCATCGTCTGTTCGGCAACGAACACACGAATTCTCCACCTTCGCGAGTAAGCTTCCGGCATGCCTTTCTGATTATAGGTTGGAACCTTCGCGCTTTCGGAATGCTCGGTCCGTGTTGGTCAACTTTCCCATGCTTTCATGTTAATTCAGGATTTTTTCTCGTATATTCACGTACTTTGCTGGGGCTCACGGTCTTCATTCCTGCGCCATCCTCATAAAGGTTTCATTGGCCTTTACGGTGTATTTCCAAATCTGCTTCTGGCGTAACGGCATGCTAACTTTAATATTATACCCCTTCAACGGTAGCCCTCCGTGTTTATTTGGCTTGCATGTTCCATTGAATTTCGTTCCATACCACATAAGACGTCGTTTCATACGAGCGCGGGCTCACCCCTTCACTTATGGATTCTGATCTCCGTTTTCGATCTGCAACATACATTGTACCAATATGCGTGAGTGTGCAATAGGAGTGGTCCTCA